GGCCACCGCTCCCCTCTGTCCTCACGCAGCACCTGACAGTGCTCCTTGCGTGGCACCTCTCTTTCTCACAGCTTTCCAGGCTGGGGGAAGCATCCCTCCTGTCCACCAAGGGCAGTGCGGCAGTGAAAGGGTTAACAGATTCATGTTAATAAATTCAGGCTCTCTTTTCCTCTAGGGCATATTTGCATATTAATGGAGGGGAATTGTAACGAACCTGTCTAGGGAGGCTAAAGGGAAAATTATGCAAGGTTGGCTGGGAAGGTGGAGGAGGGGAAAATGTTCATTTCCAGCGCTTTCCAACCCCTCAGCCGCAAACGCACGTGAGCAACCTGGGCTCCGGAGCAGCGCCTTGCCCACCGAGCGTGGGACGCCCTGGGAGGGGAGTGCCTGAGTGCAGGCAGCTGTTCGGACCTACCTGCGTCCCTCCTGCGCTGGCTTCTCATGGCTCACCTTCACGTTGCCCCACACAGGCTTTTGTTTTAAACCCAGGGCCCCAACAGCAGATTTCAGCAAGCGTGTCCCAGATCATCGCCCTGTCCTCCAAGGCATCCGGATAAAATGCAGTTCGCGGTGGGCTGTCAACAGAGCAGCTCCCCCACAACTCGTTTTCAGCAGAGGATCTCTCAGAGCTTTTTAGCAGCGCTGTGCTTGGTGTGGGGGGCGATGGAGCCAGGGAAGGGGACCTGGCGCAGGCTGGGCTGGAGCGTGCTGCCCTTTCCCATCCCTGCTCCCTCACCCCGGGCTGCAAGCAGCTGCAGCACGCGCTTGAACCCTGCCACAGTGTTTGTTGCCTCAAGCCCCAAAGCCCCACAGACCAGCCCAAAAGCCTCTGAGAGGACATGAAAAATGCCAGGAGCTCTGCCAGGTCTGCTGCCTCTGCTCTCTGCTGAGGCCTCAGTTTACAATCCCCACGCCAGTGAACTGCCCTGCAGATTTTATCTCAAGAAGGTCAGATCATCTGTTGCTTTTGCCGTGCAAGAGCAGACAGAGTGAGGGTTTATAGTCGTGGGGAAATCAGCTGTCAGTCACTAGGCAGGAGACTAATCATTGGGCTCCTGACCTGAACTAGACTGGGAGATGGAATAAGCAACCTTTATTCCTGAAAGCAAAGCAGCCCTTCATCAGAACAGCCACGGGGTGCTCCATGGACCCCAACAGCTGCAGCTGGTTTGTGCCCATGCAAATGTGATTAGGGCAGGACTTACTCAAAGTAGCAGGATGCAAAGAGGTCCAAGCTATTTTCTGCTGCAGGTTTGGCATCCTCACTCTCTTTTCCCCCTGCCTTTTGCCACTGCCTCATGTCTGCCTGTAAAAGTCACTGTGGCTCCAACCACATTGGGTGGGAAACGTGAGGTCTGCTCCAGGATGGTCAATGAGCAGGAGCAGGATTTTAAGAGGACATATGGCTTCTGCTAGATGGTTAGCTGAAGCAGTTAATTAGGACTGGTGCTGCGGGTGGGGGGGTTCCACCACAGGCCTAAATGCCGCCTGTGGAAGCAGAGAGACTTCCTCCCAAAAACCCCCGTGCTGTTTCTTTCTGACCTGGTTGGTTTTGAGGGGAGGTGTGGGGGGGGACACGCTGCAGGGTTTGGAGGCTAACTGCTGGCAGCATGCTCAGGGACTGGAGGGTGGGTAAGGGCCTGTGGATGTGATGTGTCGCTCCGGCTCTGAAGGACTTGGGAGCCCAATGGTCCCACAGACATGGCAGTCTTGCCCCTCAATATCACCAGGACCCAGAGACCAGCCCTGATACAGGGCTCAGAGGTGCAGAGCCAGTCTGGCTGTCCCCTGGGCAAAGCGTCTTCCAGCACGTGGTTCAATGTGAGCGGTGGCCGGTTGGATGCAGGGTCACTGCCGAACACTTCTACATACAAGGGCAAGCCACGTCAGTCAGCTGCTTCCTGACATAAGAAGCTGCATGAGTTCGCCTTGACATTTTGTCATTTTTGATACAACTGCGGTGCTGTGCCAGCTGTCAGACCCCGTCAATACCCTGTGCCTATCCCCTTTGATCCCCTTTGCCTTCTCCAAAAGCCCTGAAGCTTTCCCCATTTTAGCTGTCAGGATGCACATGGTCTGTGATCATGTGATTGCAGCCACAGATTATAGAAAAGATGTAGAAGTCAGGTGGATAAAACAAGCACATGGGTCCCTTAATCACAAAACTTCAAGTGCCGTGGGGATTAGATGAATATCTTTGGCTGCAGGATTTGGGGGATGCAGCAGAGCCAGAGAAGTGAATCTGTGGAAGCAAGTTGATCCCCTCCTCTCAGTTTGCTGTGAGACAGACTCAGTATAAGGGATCAGCTTTGGAAACTAGATTGAAGACAGTAAAAGTTGCAGAATTTTTTTAATTTTAACATAACCTGTGACATTTTGCCTTAACATACATTGGATCCCATGTGGTTGGCAAGCCCTGAAAGCCTCCTGAAAGCCTCCTGAAAGCTCTCTAGCCCCAGCGCAGTGTTTAATCACAGGCATGCAGATCCTAGCAGCTGCCTTCTTTGGGGACATCGCTGTTTGCAAGTTGAAAGAGAAATGCCTCAGTTAAATTTCCCAGTGTGTGGTTAAGCATCCGGCTTCGGTGATAGGATTGAAGCTGATCTTTGAATGACGTTTTTTGCTAGGAAGAAAGGGCTGGGGAAGAGACATTTCTCCCTTGGGCTTAAGATCATAAAAAAAGCGGTGTTATGTAAGTGTGACTATAACCTATTTATACGTAGTGTCAGACTCATACAATCAGGCTATGGATGACAAATCTCCCACTAATTTCTATGAATATATCAGTGGTCCCTATTTGAGGTTTTGCAACAGTAGTGGAAATGCGTGCTGTTCTGTGTCAGCAGTAAGTGGGACTCCCCTCTGAGTCCCAGTGTACTGAGGGAGGGGTGACTTGTGTCTGGCACTTGTCTTACAGGCACAGCGGGTGCAATCGGCTTCAGGCAGCTCCCTTGCACCCATTCCTGATCCCAAAGCCTAAATGGCAGGCACCAGGGGAACGGAAACCTGCTGCCTTTCTTAGGCTCTTGTCGCTCAGGTAGCTGGCCCGGCGGGAGCTGGGCTCCTCGGAGGCTCTGTCAGCAGGATGGTGCCAGCAGGACTTTGCCCTGTTATGAGGATGAAGATGAAGATGCTGAGTGCTCACCCAGGTGTCAGGGCACGGCAGCCAAATGCATCAGCTAGCAAGGTCAAACCAGTGCAAGGAGCGCCAGCTCACACGCAGTGTTAACCAGGGGAACGTCTTGCTGCAGGACCCTGCGCGTGCACAGAGTTTGCAGGGTTTCAAAACCAAGGGGATAATTTCCTGGAAGCAAAGCTTATCGGGGGCTACTAAACACAAGGAGATTGCTGAGCTAGAACTGTTCAAGGCTAGAAGGGCAGCTGGAGTCCCTGTGGCATACGCTTGCCCTGATTCTGTATATTTTCCCCCCACATTGGCACTGCTCAGTGTAAAGCTGCTGACCAGAGAGGTTTGAACAAAAATGGCCACACTTAGGCTAATGCAGCCTTAGCTGTGTGATTCTAACTTGGTTGGCAAGGCCTGACTCCTGTCTGGGATCAAGATAATGGCAACTGTGTATAAAAAAATCAAAAGAAGATTCAAACCCAGAAATGACTTCTAAGGCACGGAGAAGCAGTCATCGTAACTGCAACTAGACAAAACCCCAAATCAGAATCACAGAATCACAGAATCACAGAACCACAGAATCACAGAATCACAGAATCAGAGAATGGTAGGGGTTGGAAGGGACCTCTGTGGGTCACCCAGTCCAACCCCCCT